ATCGAAATATAGCTCAATTAGTATGTTATTAAGAGTGTGTAGAAGCTTTAAACAAGCTTTATATGTGAGCTAATCCAAATATAGCTCTATTAGTATCTTATCAAGAGTGTTTAGTACCTTTATTTAAGCTTTATATATGATTTACATGGTTAAATCTATTTATAGATAGTTAGGGTTTCAAACCCTAACTATTGAAAGAGATGAAGTGATGAGATAGAGTTAGAGCTTAATGAATTAAGTAGTATAGAATCTTAGTTCTTGAAGGATAATATATTTTGAGATAGAAAGTGAAATGTTAGATTATGATCAATTGAGTGATCACTTTGATATGGGTAGTGATTAAGCTCTTAATGAGCTAAGATAAGTTATAAGAAACTTGATATGTGTTTGAATACGCATTAGGCAAAGAATATGGATCAAGAGCGTCAATTAGAGATATGAAGCCATGGTAGTTAGCTTTCACTAACTAACAAGGTGAGTTATAATTCTCATTAGATTTGGATTATATGAATTATAATCTTATGAATCAATATGTATGCATATTTAGATGTTAATGGTATTATGTGAAATACCTACAAGTTATTAGATAGAGATAGAGTATGAATGTGTGGTTAGATGTTAATGATATTACATTAAATACCTAAATGATATTAGATAAAGATAGAGTATGATTATATGAATTGTAATCTTGTAAATGAGTATGAATGTGTGGTTTGATGTTAATGATATTATGTTAAATACTTCAAAGATATTCGATTAATGCTTAGTCTAAGTACTTAATGAATTAAGTGCTTAATTGATGGTAGAAGTTTTCTTAATGAAATGAGGTGATAGAATGTGTGTGTGCCAAGTGATATAGAATGTAGAAATATGATTCCTTTGGGAGTATAGAAATATAACTCCTACGGGAATGTACAAAGATAAATCCTTTGGGAATGTATAAAGATAATTTCTTCGAAAATACAGAAAGATAATTCCATTGGGAATGTAGAAAGATAATTCCATTAGGAATGTAGAAAGGTAATTCCTTTAATAAAGAGAATATTTGGTTATTGATATGATCAATAAAAGGTTTTCTTTAATGGAACATAATAAGAGGTTTCTTCTAGATAACCTTGATAAGTAAGGGATTCATGAAAAGAAATGTTTCCAAAGGATCCGTGAGGGGACTGAGTCCAATCGATTGTACACTGATAAGGTCAGGGTTATGTTCCCCTTAGATGCCAAATGTAGCTATTCTATATGGTTAGATCGTTTGGGTCTAAATAATTATAGAAAGATAGAGTATGATAATATGAGAATAGAATGGTAGAGCATGAGAAGATGAGAATATATATGTAGAGCATGAGAAGATGCGAATAGAATGGTAAAGTATGAGAAGACAAGAATAGAATGGTAGAGCATGAGAAGATGGGAACAGGATGACAAAGTATGGGAAGATGAGAATAAAGTGGAAGAGTATAAGAAAGGGAGAATAGAAAGATAGAGTACGAGAGGATGAGAATAAAACGGTCAAGTATGAGAACATGAGAACATAGTGTTTTATAACTCATTGAACTTCTGGTATAATGTTTGTAGATTTTCATGTGTTGCAGGTTGAAGTAGTAGCCATGGTACGAGAGGAGTTAGAAGTAAGGAGACATACTTGATGTAGATTTTTGTTTTGGTATACCCTTTTGATTTAAATTGTGGTGAAGGTATATTATAAAACCAAATTTATTTTTGGATGTAAAATGTTTTTGAAACTCTGGTTTATAATGTTATAGAAAACTTTGATAAATCCCCAAAATGTTTTATTGTGAAAATTCAAGTTGTTAGTGGATATGTATATGAATTTTTCTCATGGAAATTACTCACAGGATGGTAAATGTGTCTTCAAATTGGTTAAATCTAAATATATTTTAATATAGGCTTCAATGTAGTATGATAATTAACTTTTTTGAACTTCGTATTGATATTATTTAGAAAAACTAGCAAGATTCTTGACATATATAATATCACGGGAAAGGAACAATGTTACAAAGAGACTACCAAATCATACAACATCAACCCAACCAAGAACAGTAATAATTAACTTACTTGGAGCATATCCAATAGAAGATTTTATTGTTACAAGATTAAAATAAATTTAATCCTAACAACCTAAACTTGAAATGGTAATTGTAACACCAAATTCCATGTATAATTACTTTTGTGGTTATGGGTATTTAAGGATTTAAAACATAAGGTTTTGTGGTAGCCACGACGTCGTGTTTATACCACCACAACATGGTAGAACCAGATGAAACACACATTCCATTTGAGTGCCACGATGTGACAAGATATTGGTCACGACGTGGCAACCACCTGCATGCGAAACCCTAATTTATCGGGCCTTAAGACCTACTTAAAGGATGTGATGGCTAGGGTTTGCCCACCCTCAACCTCCATCACTCCCCTTTCACTCCAAGGAAACACTATCCCCTATTGTTAAGTTTTTGAAGCTTCTTGTGGTGATTTTGGTGTGTTAAAGATAAGGTCTTCATTGAGTGTAGATCCTGTAAGCAAGCTCCTTCTTTACATTCTAGCACATATCTTGGAGCACTCTAAGTCTTCATGTTCTAATCTTTATGTGATATGCTTTTAGATCTAGTTTTTTTATGCTTTTTTCTTCATGTTTGTGTTAGTTGGTAAGTTTGGATTCCATAAAGTTGGCAACTTTATGGATCCTTGAGGTCCTATTATGGTTATGTGCCCTAGATCTGAAGAATGATTGAATTTTGAATCCTTGCATGAGATTTGGACCTCATTTACATTATATTTGACCTAGATAGGGTACAATACATTCGTTGAACATACATGTCTATAAAGAATTTATTTTTATGACTTATTGAGGGTGAGAAAGCCTTCTGGAAAGTATGGATAGGTCGCTTGAAGAATTAAGAGCTTAATGATTTAAGCTAGCCATAATAGTTCTGACAACGTGGAGGCATAGCTCCCACGATGTTCTGAAAGGTGGTATTTGAGACAATTTTTTCATAAGGTTACCACGACATAGGAAATTATTGGCCATGACATGGTGACCGATTGACGGGCTTTTGATTGTTGACTTTGACCATTAAAATTTTACTTTTTGACCATGTTAACTTTTGTTCAACTTGAGGGTTTTGGGCTATGGATTGAGGAGTAGTCTCTGATTGTTGTATAGGAGGCTCCTAGTACTAGTTCTTGGATTGTGTGAGCCATATCATTTATCTGTTAGACTATAAGGCGAGTTTTCTCACTATACTTTGTACTACATTATGTATCCTTGTGTGTAGGATGTTGATATGTTGTAGTGATTTGTTAGATTAGTAAATCTTTATGATTACCTGTGTTTTCTGGTTATTGTTTATTCGTTTCCATATATTGACATATTATGATTGGGTTGAGACGGTCCTACTTTATGTTGTAGGCTAAGATCCCCAGGCAATCCAAATGTATTGTAGACCTTCCCTGTCGGTCCAATCAGACTGTAGGCCCAAAGGAGTGGTTAGGTATATTGTAGGCTTTGTGAGGCATTCTAGTTAGATTGTAGACTTAGTAGAGCAATCCAGGCATACTGTAGGCTCATGTGTTCATGCATTGTATGTGTATTGTTGTGTGAGGTATTTTCAGGGAACTCACTAAGCTTTGGGTTATAGTTGTGGATTTAAATGTTTTAGGTACTTCAGATGATCGGGGCAAGGTGAAGGCGTGATCATAGACATCTTCCTGCTGATTTATGTTTTGAGAGATGATATTGATACTCTGATTTTTATGGTTTTTTAAACAATGATTGATTACTTTATGGATTTTAAGAAAATATATTTTAAAAATAATTTTATTTTACTATGGTATTTGGGATGTTACTGTAGTGTCATAAGAATAATTACTTGGTGTATTTTTGTGTAGTTAAAAATGTTAAGGTGGTTTTTTATTATTATGGAAGTAGATGGGCTAAATTGTTCATTAAAGATTCTATCGGATCTTCTCAAAGTATCAATGCAATTGTTTGAGTTAATGTGGAATCTTAATAAAATAATTATACAAAACAAACAAACAATTAGATGAATCAATGAACACGTTTCAATAATGCACACAATTCTACTGATCAATTCTCAAGTACATTTAATTACTCTTAAACCGTGAATAGGCTATAACTCACCAAAAACTCATTAACCTAGAATAGCTATATACAAACCATATTTATATTACACCAATTAACCTAAAGCTCAAAGATAACAAGCCCACCGAAAACACTAAGCCCACTAGTGATTTCGGTCCAAAACCGAGATCACATATTACATACAAAACAAAGCATAAACCACAAAATATATCCCAACTATCTCTCCATTGGTTTATTGATTTGAGTTCTCTTCAAGGCTTTTCCATGAGATGCACGTCCGCCTGATCAAATGCCCCAACCCATAGCTTCTTTTCAATTATGGTAGCAACCATTCTGATGAAGGCTTTTGCGGCAAATTTAAACAAATCATTCTAAAAAATTATTTGAAATTTGAAAAAGTTTGGATATCACATTCACAAACCTTCAATAAGTCTTTGGGATCGTTAATACGATACTGGCTCTTCTTCAGCTTGATCACTAATGATGCAGTAGCCTCCTCATAGGCCCAGAATTGCATTGAGTCTAAAATGCCTTCTGGTAAACGTTTAAGAAGTGGAATCCTTTTAGCTTGCTTTGTAGGCGGCCACATAACATTCATCATGGTTTTATTAGTGCGAGGATCAATGGCATCCTTGGCCTTTTTCATAAACAAAGAAGCAGTCTTGATTCCTTCAAAGTTATTTTTAGCTTTATCCTCAAGAAAACGCTTAAAATACCAGACCATGGGATCACTGGTTGGATTGTGGAAAGGTGCGTGAATAAGTTCAGAAAGATCAATTTTTTTCCAGGATAGAAATTTGACTTTCTTCTCATAATATTCAATTCGCCCGCTCTTTCGCTTTACAATCAACATTTTCTTGTTAGCATCATATCCCTACATCAAAATGCCAGAGTGGTCCCCATATTTATCTGTAAATTTCTTCCCATTCTGCCTGAAAAACATCTCAGGGTGATCACCTGGAGCATTTTGGTCCAAATGTTTCATCACCAGCATCTTCCCTCTTAGCTGCTCAACCCTGATTTGCATGTCTCTTCTTTCATGAGCAGAAGCACGATCAGAAGATAAAAATGTGTCAAAATTTGCATCCGGAGCAGGTCTTACAAATGTTTCACTTATAGATTGAGAAGTTGGATTGACTGGACCAGAACTAGAATCATAAATCTTTTCTCCTTCAGCGCTTAAACGTTGAAAATCATCACCAAACTTTTGATGTAAGCGATGTTTAGGTAAAAGAATAAAGCATTTAGACCACTAAGATTTGCTTAAAGTTATGAAATCTTTGCATCTTTAATGGAGTTCTCCTTTTCAATATTACTGATTCTAATGTCCTGCTTTCCAATAATTAAATCCTTTTCAGCTGAGCTCTGTTCCAAATCAAAAACTCTGTTATGAAGCAGACCAACATCTATAAATTCAAACTTGGGCAGCTTCCTTTTGCCTTTTGAAATATCCAGCTCAGGGGGCTTCAAATGAGCTTCCAAAAGCTTGAGCCCCTTCTGAAGGTAAGGCTTCTTATTTAATAATAGGGCTTTCAAAATCCTGATCCATAGGAGTAGATTCAGGTAATGGGCTTGAAATCTCTTGCATTACTGGAGAGGACTCAGTGAATGTGCTTTCAATATTTTGGGCTACAGAACTAGGTTTAGTTGGAGTAGATACATTTTGAGCAGGGTCTGTGATAAGCACTCAAGGTATTGGATCTAACCTTTTTCTTTTCCTCGGGAGTAGAACGTAAGCTGAATCTTCTTGATCACTCTCAGATGGAGGTTCAGTTGTAACAAGAACTGCTTGGGGAGGCTCCTCAGAGTCCGCTGAAGTTCAATAATAAGAGCATCTATCTATTCAGGGGTAGGTGAATAAAATTGCACAGTTGGGTCATGATCTCTTTCAGTCACAACAGAAGGTGTGACACCTACATCCTCTTTAGGGATTGAAATACTTTGTACAAAATCTTCAAACTCATTCTCTATCATATCCCTTTCTTGAACCTCTTCTTCTTCATCACCATCATATGTTTCAACCTCTTCAAATGCAAATTGAAATTTTGGTTTAGGTGCAACATGTTCCTCGACAACCTCAACATTAATGGAACTAGCAGTAGGAGTGTTTTCAAATTCAACAAAATTTCCAAACTTGACCAATTCCTTCAATCCTTGATAGGATACTTTGGCAGCTTTTCTTGATTTCTTCATGAGTCTAAAGGTGTTAGGACCCAAGGCTTTCATATCCAAAGTATAAGAAGACCTCTCAATTTGGGGTACTTTTCATTCAGGATCATTTGTACGAACCTGGGATACATCAAGAGTAGTGTCACACCTCGAACCATCAGAAAAACAATGGCGGAAACGTCCGGGGCGGGGATGTCATGCATAATATCACAACAATCGTAACATAACAATCAAAGTAAACACAACCATTACATTACATTAAGAATGTTTACATCAGTTTGAAAACATAGTTTTTATACATCGATATAAACAAATGATAAAGACGAGACTCCAAAATGCTCTGTCTTCTCCAAAAGCTGGCAAGGTACCTATCTATTGTTGTCCTGAGAATACAAGCGGTTTTGAAAACATATTAGCATAAAGTTGGTGAGTTCATAAGCATGTTTTTGTATTGAAAACTAGTCACTGAGTTTGTATAAATGATTTCTTTCCATTATAAGTAAATTGTCATTTGTATCAAAAATCATCATTATCAAGTTCTGAATATGAATGTATGTTTACCAAGAAAATCCCATATTTTCTAATGTAACGACCAAAATTTCGAAACAATTAAAACTTTTCAAAACAACCCATTTTAATAACATTGTTACAAAAAGGTTTTCAATACATTATTTAACAGAGTATTTTCCCAGGTCCATTTCATAAAACACCAACGCGAGGAACGGTACGATCACACCCTTGCCTTGCCACAGACTCCTGAGAACCTGAAAACATAAAAACCACCACTGTAAGCCCGAAAGCTTAGTGAGATACCCCCAAAATACCAACCACATATACGCCCTTCCAGGCCACAACCTTCTGGTCCAAAACATATCGCCTTCCGGCCCATAGCGTAATGCCTTCCGGCCCATAACACATTGCCTTCCGGAACATAACATATTGCCTTCCGGCCCATAACATATCGCCTTCCGGCCCGCAACGTAAAAGCATATATACATATATATATATATATATATATATATATATATATATATATATATATACATATATCATGACAGAACATAGAACAACCATGCATACCGGGTTACACTCCAGACCAGACAACTATACACATAACATGTAATCATATAACAGTTCACAGTTAGCAATTCGATCAACAGATCACATAACATATCATTACCCTAACCAAGATACCAGCCTAGCCGATCACTAGCATAACATCACCCTACGACTCAGCCAACATAATAACTATGCACATACGCCTTTCCAGGCCATGACCTTCCGGTCCACATCGCATTGCCTTCCGGCCCACAACATGTAATGCCTTCCGGCCCATAACGTAACACCTTCCGGCCCATATCCCGCAATATCATACAACAGACAATTACCAGGATTTCCATCTGATAAAAGGGTCGGCCTTGGTGCCTTAAACCCTATAGATATAGTGAGGATAACTCACCTCGAAACTGCCGACTGAACAGATAACCCAAGCTGCTCCGATCCCTGATATGATCTCCACCACTGGACAGCCACCAATGCACTGAACTAAAAACCATAATCAACAATTACCAAAATACCCCTGGAAACCACTGGTTAACCCTTGGTCAATTACTAGGTCAAAGTCAACCCCTGACTGACCCTACTCGCCGAGTCAACCCTATGACTCGCCGAGTTCCCATACTCAAAACTTCACTCAATCCGCGACCTAACTCGCCGAGTCGCCCCGAGACTCGCCGAGTCCAACAACTCTGAGTCCACTCGCACACAACTCACCGAGTCATCCCTTGACTCGCCGGTTCTCGACTCAACTAGAAAATATTTGGACTCTTCGACAAGACTCGCTGAGTCCAAGAACAGACTCGCCGAGTCTAAGGCTATCTTCAACCTACTCGCCGAGTTGTTCATCCAACTCGTCGAGTTCCAGCTCATCTTCAAGCAACTCGTCGAGTCCACCCATGTGACTCGCCGAGTACCACCGGTCTGCATCCAAACAGAAGCGTTCCAGACCATGCAATTGATCCAAAACATAGATCTAGCCTCCTACAACTCATCCATCACGTAAAGTGGCAATCTTTACGTGAATCCAAAGAGATCTATGCATTTTGCACATTAGGGCTAAGGTTTGGGACAAGATAGCTTCATCCAACACTCAACACAGGGACTTTCCTGCATTCCAACTCTCCTCCATTCCAGATCTGAGGTAGCAACCTCAAATCTAACCTCTAGATTCCAATATCACCCAAGCTAAGCTTCCCTCAAACCCCAAAATGAATAAACAAGATAACAACAGCCTAAGAATGAGATATTACCTCGAAAGAATGCCCCAATCTGCAAGGAACTCGAATCCAAGCAAAGCCCCTTTCTCCACACCTTCAAACTTCCAAACTTTCTTCAACAAATACTTCTCCATGCCCCAATCCACTCAACAATGGTGCTTCTCCACGAGTTTAGGGTTTCAGGGACTCAAAGGGTGATAAAGAGGCTGGGGAGGAAACGTAATGCTCTTTATATAGGGCTCAACCCCGAGAATTAGGGTTTTCTCCACTCAGCGCCTACTCGTCGAGTCCATCTCATTGACTCGCCGAGTCGGCTATTTAACACGCGACCAAGTCGCGACTCTAATCGCCGAGTCCATCCATGGACTCGCCGAGTCACTCTTTCCCAAATTACACTTTTAGCCCTTCCACTCAACCCTTGCTATTTCGGGATGTTACATCTAACATGTTTGATGATTTCTATATGAAAAGTATATTATGTTTGAAAAATCTTTGTTACCACCAGTATGTATAATAGTTTTATTTCTTAAAATAAAATCCGTAGACTGTGTCCCTGTAATACCCTCCAGTAAATAGATATGTAGTTTTATTAATTACAATAAAACTACGGAAGAATGAAATCCCGTGAACAAAGGTTAGTTTGTACTTATCATGAGTTGTATAACCATACTAATATGACCGGTGACCACCTTGATGTTTCTTCGGGCGTCGTACGAATACAAAATTTGTCACCCAAGGTGTGCCCGCCTAACTATAGCTAACAGTTCAGGTGTGGGATTATCGGTCCCAAATAGATCTATTCACAAATTTCACGCTCTCCCTGCAGGAGACTCTAGTTATACTACCGGTGAGGATTTATTGGTACCCCAAGGGGCATAACAAAGATAAGTCTCACAATCTTGTAATAACTAGTTTACGTGTTGTTCGGCTGTTCTCGAGTTCGAAATCGTTTGTAACGATGTAGAGTATGAATAATTATACATAAATAATTATTTAGCAAGATACTCTAGGTTTGTATTCATAGAAATGAATAAACTTAATCTGACATAGTTTATATGTTTGACTTTGCATGAAGTTTGAATCTGTAAAATTGGTAATGCAATCCCAAACTATACCTATTATAGTTTGAATGTTTAGTTACGTTCATGTACTATTTTGAAAACTATGCAATTATAATTAGAAAACATCCCTTATGCTCTGCATGTTACAAAAGGGATAAATATGTCTAAACACTTGATAGAAAACCATTGTAATTGCATCAGTTTTTAAGTTACGAAAACTTTTATGTTTGGCTTGTATTCCCCCCCCCCCCTGAAAACCCAAAACACTCGGAAAAGCGTAGGGGTATGAACTCACAGGTTGTTGGATGCAGAGGATTGAACTGGACAATCCTTGTGTTGATGTATGTTGCACTTAACAAAATCCTAATATAAAAAAAAAATACATATGTGTATTTAAATTAGCGATTTTGCTAGATAGGTGTTAGATATATATTTGGTTTTTGGCTAAGGAATGTCATCGGGAATTGCTTGGATCGAGGAAAACAAACTTTTTCTCATGAATGAGCTGTTTACGGCCGTAAAGGGAGTTTACGACCGTGAACTGGATTTGCGATCCATGGGTTTACGGACCATGGGTTTTCGGTCTAAGGGTTTACGGCCCAAGGGTTTATGGTCGTAAACACTGGACGAGATGTGTATTTTTGGTGTTTTAGGGTCCTTTCTAGGCTCGTGGAATTATTCTAAACCTTTTTCAAAGCTCAAAGTAGGGTTTAAAGGCCAATATTCGTCCTAAAATGGAGTTTACGACCATTTAAGGGTGGCCATAAACCCATTCCGAGTTTATGATTTGGGTCGATTCCAGGTCAAAAATCAGTGGTTTCCAGTAAACATTAAGCATGGAGGGTAGTTACTTACTGAATAAGGCTTGGAATGAGGTTTTTAGCCACCAAACACTAGTATGCGTTCTTGGTGTTCTTGGTGAGAGAGAATATCTAGAAAAGATGAAATTATATGGAATGAAACAAGGATTCAACACTAGAAAAGGGATTAAAACAGAAGAAAGCTAAAGAATCACTTACATTCTTTAGGGTTCTTGATCAAACTCGAAATTGTAGAGAGTGAAAGCTTCTTAGAGGGTGAAAAGGCTGAAATGGAGGTCACGCATCCGTTATATAGGGTGAGTTTACGGCCAGGGGTGGGGGTCAACCAGGAACTGACCGCAAACAGAGTTTACCTCCGTACACCAGTTTACGGCCGTAAACTCGCCTTAGCCGTGAACTCGTTGTTTTTCGAGGGAAACGAGAGTTTTTCGCGCGATTTTTCGTTTTCCGACATGTATGCAATTATGACAATAACCCTAGTCGATTTACTTAACCTAAGAAGTTGACGGAAAAACTCAATAAAAATTAAAATTTATTAACAGAAGTGGGTTACAATAATGTAATAAATTTCGGGTTGTCACAAATAGGCCCTTCTTCTTCCTCTGGAGGTCTCTTTTCATTTCTTCAAAAACAAAATTTGAAAATTTGTAATCCCAGTTCATTACTAAAGTGACACTAGCTAAAGTCGCAGTCTGACTATTTTCATCAGATCCTCCCTTCCTTCCAGAAATGCAACTCACAAAGTAGTGTGCCAGAAACCTCCAGTAACGTGGCAACAAGTTTTTGATGGTGGGAGAATAGGTTCCTTTATAGCACATCTTCTCAAGGACTTCCTTCACTTGATCAACAGAATACTTAATTGGAAATGCAGATGCATCGCCAAATTCAAGTACTTCTTA